GGGTGCGGGCAGGGGAAGGATTTCTGATTCACATTTATTTTACCCCTGCTTTTATTAGGTATTTTGACAATATGAAGGTACCAGGGCAAGTTACAGCCTTAGTAAGCAGGTTGATGGTGGCCCAGTACATGGCATCTCCTGGACACTCAGTCTCCCTTTAGGTGGTGAACAGAGGGCTGGATGTCATAACTCTCTACATCCATTGATGTTTGGGAGAATACATTGTCTGCAGGAGTAATGTACTAGCCTACTTTTGGATTAAGGATACCCCTGGGTAGCAGAGTGCAATTCTTATGATATAAAAACATCATACTTGCTTTTGTAACTCTACCTCAAGATTTTGCCCTCAAAAAAGGAAGGGGCAGGTTTTGGATACCTAGTCTTACCCTGCTTGTAGCCCAACATGGAGCATATGACTTTTTTACCTGTCAGCTATGATCTATAACAGCTATTAGAGGAGCAAGTATAGGTGGCAGAAAGATGACCCGAATGCTCCCTAGTTGCACCAGTTGTTGTTACGCCTGTTGTACTGCAGAGCCAACAGGCTCCGAGTTAGATCTTGGGCCCCTATTGTGGCAGGAATGGCTTTGCACCTTTTCTTGTCGCTGCCCGAAGAGCACATGGCTCCTTCAGCACAGCCACTGCTCTGCTGCACCCCAGAGCATGCAGGTGGGAGAATGTCACGTCTGCAAAGCTTGATCTCTGACAATAAAACTCACACCTATCTTAGAGGAAACCTATTTCCTCCTGTACTGAACACCCAGTTGCCAGCTCTTTGCATGCTGAAAGCCAGTTGTCCTGTTTGTTCTTATTCTTCCTCTTCTCTTTACCCTTTTCTACAGCTTGCTGAGAAACTTGACCCTGGTGACAGATGCCCCTGAGCTGGCCTACCCTTCTCAGGCTTTCATTTGGAAAAGATTTGAAGAAGTCTTTCTCATTGCCTCTGGACTTATCTGCTATGCACCTGTGTTCAAGGCCTATTTCTACCAGGGGCTGCTGGAGCTCTATCAAGATAATGTACAGTATGTCGAGATAAGAGCTATCCTGCCTCCGGTACGTATTTTTTGGCTTCTCTAGTATTCTTTTAAATCCTTATTTCTCCATAACTTTTCTCAAGCCCTATCTTGAATTTAGTTTTTGGATGTTTGCATACCTGCCTTTCTAAGGATGCTGGAAAACCTTGATCATATTCAAAGGTCTTTGTTGGAGATTTGCATGGGCAAGGGCTTAAAAGTGAGAGATGCTTTGTTCTTAATGGCTAAGGAAGATACCGACCATGGCAACAGCACAAAACTGCATTGTACAGTCTGACTGGGAGCTCTGTCAAAATCTCGCTGGTTGAGAAGGTGTATCTCAGCTTTGTCTGCACCAGAATCACCTGTTCTGTGGCAGCTCTTCTGGAACAGTTTCCTGTCTTGAACAGAGACTTATTCTGGAATAGTTACATTATTTTAAACCCACAGCTTATTTCAGAATGATTTCTCTGAACAGGCTAGTAAACCAATTGGCAAAGTACAGTATTCCACAGTTTGCAGACAACCTAAAATTTTTGCTATGTATGTGAAGTATGAACTGCTCCTTTCTTTGCCACTAACACTAGAATCTGTTGGTAATAGTTTAGGTCTTTCTCCCTGTGTGTCACCCAGACCTGGTCAGATTGCTGTACAATCCCACGCTGTCCCAACACCTTCCCAAGCACCAGCAGACCTCACCTCTGTTCTTCAGCCATAACGGTTCCCACTTTCCTGGTGGCAATTTCGACACTGCAGGCACACCTTTTCTATACTGGTCTCCACACCAGCTCCAAGCAGGACAGCATGGGGTGGGAGCTCTGTCAGAGAGGCAGATACCTTACCAAAACAAACAAACTGGGTCCACTGCTGCTCACTACACCACCTACCTCCATGTTCTTAACAGTCCATTGCAACAGGAATGAAGCTGCTGTGCAATGTCCATCCAGCAGCACCTGAAGGACCAGGTGGTGGTGGTGGTGGGTTGTGCGTGGAAACGCAGGCAGCAGCTCACTGCTGGCACCACGGCCTCCACCAGACAGAGCAGCCATGCTGACATCTGCTGATGGCCCGACTCCTGAACACACCTGCCAGGAACTTCCTTAAATCACTGCCCTCCCATGCAATGGCTGGTGGGCTCCAGCCA